TAGCGCACATCGCCTCTCCGCCCTTCCTACCCTCTTCCGTGGGCCTCTCGTCTACGCTTGGCTCCAGAGAATCCATTCTGCTTGTCTTCTGGTGGTTTTCTGGGTTATTTAGGCAGGTGTGGGTGGAATCTAAGTGATCAGCAGGACGTGGTGAGCCCAGCATCCTCCTATGCCACCATCTTCTTCCAAAATCCTAAAATTGTATTCTTAATAGCCATAGCCCTTCTCAAAACTTTTAGGAGGTTTCCGGTTCTTTTAAAATAATGCCCAACCTCTATAGCATAGGCTCCAACCTTCTTTTCCATTTTCATTTCTATCACCTTTCCTTGGAATCTCCCCAGTGTCCATGAACTTGTTGGCCTTTCCAGTGCTATCCCATCTCCATATCTTATTGCCTGCATTTCCCTCGTCTTGAGATAGGAAATACTCTTCCCTGCATATTTGCATCTTAAAATCTTCTGGGCACAAACTTAAATACTACCCGCTCTATAAAAATTTTACTTCATTCCAATTCTTGAAAATAATCTCTCCTTCCTCTAAACTTAAAAATGACTCTCTGGGGGCGCCTGGGTGGCGCAGTCGGTTAAGCGTCCGACTTCAGCCAGGTCACGATCTCGCGGTCCGTGAGTTCGAGCCCCGCGTCGGGCTCTGGGCTGATGGCTCAGAGCCTGGAGCCTGTTTCCGATTCTGTGTCTCCCTCTCTCTCTGCCCCTCCCCCGTTCATGCTCTGTCTCTCTCTGTCCCAAAAATAAATCAACGTTGAAAAAAAAAAAATTAAAAAAAAAAAATGACTCTCTGTATATCTGTTAGTCATAAAAATGTTTTTAATTATTATAGGCATGTAGTAGTATTAAAACTGTTTTTACATATATTTTATTTTAATCTTTACAACAATAAAATGAGGTCTTATTTAGCACCATTTTTGATGTGGTAACTGGGAATAAGAAGCTTATTTAAGTTGTATACTATTAATTATATAATAATTAAATTGTCACCGTCACTGTTGCCTTTTAATAACTTTGCTTATTTTTCTTACTTGTTTCCATACTTTGTCCTCAATACATTAAGGCAAGGCTTTGTACAGGATAGGTAGTCTTTATTTGAATGAATGAAAGACTGGATTCATGGAAGTAAAAGTATTTTTCATAATTACTGTTTGAGAGGTATGTATTTTATGCATTTGAGAGATATGTATATTAGTAGCCTTTTTTTATGTTATGACATTTAAGTCTGCCAGGAAGAAGAAAATCACCAAAGCTGAACGGTTAAAGCAGCTACAGGAGGAGGAGGAGAGACGGCAAAAAGAGGAAGGTACAAAGTACATAGTGATACTATTTTCACATGCAGGGACTTAAACAATAGTTGATATTTCTATATTCCCATCAATATTTTTAAAAAGAATTTTCAAAATTCTTCAATTTTTCAAATTTCATCTGTTTCTTTATTTTTTAATTTTTTAAAAAAATTTTTAATGTTTATCTTTGAGAGAGAGAGACACACACACTGTGCGAGTGGAGAAGGGACAGAGAGAGAGGAAGACACAGAATCCTAAGCAGGCTTCAGGCTCTGAGCTGTCAGCGCAGAGCCCTACATGGGGCTGGAACCCGCTAACTGTGAGATTATGACCTGAGCTGAAGTCAGACCCTTAACCGACTGAGCCACCCAGGCGCCCCAAATTTCATCTGTTTTTTAAATAGTTATCTGCTATTTAAAGTGTACCCAGAGGGGCGCCTGGGTGGCGCAGTCGGTGAAGCGTCCGACTTCAGCCAGGTCACGATCTCGCGGTCCGTGAGTTCGAGCCCCGCGTCAGGCTCTGGGCTGATGGCTCAGAGCCTGGAGCCTGTTTCCGATTCTGTGTCTCCCTCTCTCTCTGCCCCTCCCCCGTTCATGCTCTGTCTCTCTCTGTCCCAAAAATAAATAAAAACGTTGAAAAAAAAAATAAAAAAATAAAGGGTACCCAGAAAGTTTTGTTACTATACACCAATCACTTTGAGATATATCTTGAAGTGGAGTTGCCAGATAAAATACAGAATTCCCACGGAGGGGCACCTGGGAAGCTCAGTTGGTTAAGCATCCAACTCTTCATTTAAACTCAGGTCATGATCTCAGAGCCATCTGATCGAGACCCACAGAGGGCTCTGTCCTGACAGTGTGGAGCCTGCTTGGGATTCTGTCTCCTTCTCTCTCTCTCTCTCTCTCTCTCTCTCTGCCCCTCCCCAGCTCTTGTGCATGCTGTCTCTCAAAATAAGTAAACATTAAAAAAAAGTACAGAATGTGCAGTTAAGTTTGAATTTCAGATAAATAATAGGTGATTTGGGATAATTTGTTCCATGCAATATGGAACATACTTAACCCCCCCCCCC